GCTTCATCCATACTTATTATGGCACCAAAGCAAGATTGTGGGAGGACTGATCTCAATACATGCCCACCCACCTACCAGTGAGTATTTTCTAATAAAATGGCAACTTTCAAGACTTGAACCTCTCCCGTGTTTCTAAAACTAGGACTTCTATAAGTGCAGCACATCACGGCCCTTTTTCTACCCTTTATAAGCGCAGATATCAGTTGTCAGATTTCTGTGGTGAGCTGTAAAATTGAAATGCTGTGCCATGATAAGCCAGTAAATTAGGGTCCCAACAAAGTAGAGGCAACATTATCAAATGTCAGTTTAGAGCTTAAATTTTGCATTAAGCCTGTAAAAAGCTTGGTATAACTTCTCAGATTTTAATGACTCCTGCTGATAATAAGGGGGAGGATAGGATCCAATTGACCTGTTAGATGTTTCATCCTTGCTTTGTTTCCTGAACCTAGGAGAAAATGTGGTGGTGTAATGCGTAATGCAAATCATTTTCCTGGTCGAGAACAGCAATTTATTTGGCATTGAGAAATCAACATTAGCTTCTAAGCAATATTATTTGCTCTAAATAAAAATTTTCCCCCTTCCATCTTTTTTCTCTATGTACATTGTTAAATGAAAGCAACGGAGAAACATAACTTGCATCTTAAATATATATTGGGTGTAAAAGTTTTATTTTAATTTCTTCCTACATCCTTAAATGTGCTAAAAACTTAGTGTTTGCTTTCTTGGCTATTTATAGGAACTACTGGGAAGCCAAAGGGAGTTGTCATAAGCCATACAGCTTTAATTGTACAATCCCTGGCAAAAGTTGCAATTGTTGGTTACAGTGAGGATGATGTACGCCTTGCTTCTAGAAATATGTAGATTTGTTTTGACTGTAATTACAAGGATATGATTGAAGAGGTGAAATAACTCAAGTATAGTTGTTCCAAAGTGGACTTATATGGTTTGGGTGGAATCATACAGCTAAAGAAACAATGCTCTTAGTTTATTTTGGTTAGTATTTTTCCATTGGTTCGACCGTGACAACCCTCTCTTTAATTTTTTATTGTCTGGTTATTTCCAGGTTTATTTGCATACTGCTCCCTTGTGCCACATTGGTGGTTTATCCTCAGCCATGGCCATGCTAATGATAGGAGCTTGCCATGTCTTCATACCCAAGTTTGAACCTAGGCTAGCCCTTGAAGCCTTAGAACAGCACCATGTGACTTCTCTGATCACTGTCCCTGCAATAATGGCTGATCTAATCTCGTTGATCAGGTAAATAATAGAATTATTTTTCCATTAGATGATGATAATTAAAATTTTCTTGGTTAGGTCTCTTTGAGATTTTGTTTATCTTCATTTTTCCCCTAAAATAGGCTGTAGCCTTTCTTTTCTATTTTGTTTTCCCCCAGGCCCAAGTCTCATATAAATAGCCTTTGCATTTTCTTGTTCAGCTTGCTGAAATTCATTATTATTTGAACACTTTAACTAATTCCATGCCTGAAATATATAACTTTTTATCTGGAAAATAATGTTGATGCTTATTTTTTATCATAGGGTCGTTTGATCTGGTTGTTTCTGTTCTGTGATATTCTCTAAGGCTGAAGCGAAGTTGGAAGGGTAGAGACAGTGTGAAGAAGATATTAAATGGAGGAGGAGGCCTATCATATGACCTTGTTAAAGATGTGATCAAATTCTTCCCAAGAGCAAAGCTTCTTTCAGCTTATGGTTGGTCTAACTTATTCAATTTTGTTTCTTTAAGTATATCATGATATATTCTACTCAAATCATTTCTGAAGTAACCCTAATGGTTTGTGGAGAAGCTTAGTCAATTCAATGATCTTCTTATGTCTAGAAAGGTGATAAAAATTCTTGCATTAGATGGAAATTGAAAGTATGATCCATAGAGTTGCATATAGTTTTTTGGCATTCTAGCTCTCTATACTTGACATTTATATTTGTAATTTAGTCATTTACTCAGGCATGAAGTACATTATAGCGTTTGCAATCAAATTGCAATGAGTGAACTTAGGCATGTAGAGTGAGCAACTTTCATTAAATTATACTTAACCTGAGCCAACTTTTGATTCAGGAATGTGATAAACATTCTTCTGGTTAAGGTTCATATGAGCTTTTGTAGGGTATTCCTAGTTAGGTGAATAAGCCTATTTACCAGCTCAAGCACTGTCATATGTGAACATGCTAAACTGAAATTCACCTTACTGAGCTGCTGCATGAATACACGAGCTATAATTTATAAGTTACCTTCTGGTTATTAACAGTTTGTCCAGGCAAGGCTAATTGTTTCTGTAGTCATTCATAGGACAAGATGTAAATTTACATGAATATACAGGGTTTAGTAGCTAACACTAAGGATATTCCGTATGTTTCTTGAAACATTTATAACGCCATAGTATTCTTTTAATTCTCTTTCACATTTTAAATTTGTGAAGGGATGACAGAGACATGTTCTTCTCTAGCCTTCACGACCCTCTTTGAGCCAATGTTTGAGGCCTCTGGTACATCACTGCAGAAGTTTTCCAAAAGTAAGTCAAGTCCAGGCAAACCACGAGGGGTCTGTGTTGGCAAGCCTGCTCCACATGTCGAGTTAAAGATGTGCTTTGATGACTCCTCTGATGTTGGAAGAATTCTAACCAGAGGTCCACATGTAATGCTAAGATACTGGGATCAAATTCCAGAAAATGCATCAAGTTCTATTGAAGAAGCTTGGCTAGACACTGGTGACATTGGGTTCATTGATGACCATGGCGACTTATGGCTTGTTGGACGAACAAATGGTCGAATCAGGAGTGGAGGAGAAAATGTTTACCCTGAGGAGGTAAGCATCCATATATATAGCTTCATATCATTTACTGGTCTGTCACTTAAAATATGGTCTTTATTATTACCTTATAATGTTTATTTGTTTGATCATATAGGTGGAGGCGGTGCTGGATCAACATCCAGGAGTTATTTCCTCCATTGTTGTGGGAATTCCTGATCCTCGCCTGACGGAGATGGTTGTCGCTTGTATCCGATTAAGCGATAACTGGCAGTGGTCCAATAACAGTTCCAAATTCTCGATTCAAAGCAACGAGCTATTCCTGTCTAGTGAGAATCTTCGACATTATTGTAGAGAAAAGAACTTAAGCAGGTATATCACTCTTGCTAAACTTTAACTGATTTTCCTTCACTTGTGTTGGGTGAATATGGTTTTATTAACTGTTTCTTTGCTACTGTTTTCAGGTATAAAGTACCAAAGATGTTTATTTTATGGACGACCACATTCCCGCTGACAACAACCGGAAAAGTACGAAGAGACCAAGTTAGGAGAGAAGTCATGTCCCAGCAACAATCCTCGCCTAGCAAACTTTGACAATTTAATTCAGTACTCATCAGAATAAAGCAGTTCCTTTTAGATTCTTTTGGAAGAAAAACATAAATACAAATACCAGTTTACGTAATAATTTTACCAATCTTGTATCACTTCATTAGTAACATAAAATTCAATCGATGTGGACGTGGATATAAAAATAAATTGTTTGGTTCAGATTTTACTTTAATTTATTTTCAGGCGTTTGTGTATATTTTTATAATTGATTTTTATTATTGATAATCATAATTATATATCAGTTTTTAATAGGAGCATTTTTAAAAATATCTTTCAAAGATAAGATATTTTTAAAAATAGTTTTTTTTATAATTTTAATTATTTTTAATTAAGTTAAAATTATTTTTAATGAAATTATATGTCCTGATGTTACACTTCATGTACAAAAATATATTACATGTTATAATTAAGTTGTTATACATCATGTACAAAAATATGTGACATATCATGGTTAGGTTGTTATACTACAAAAACATGTGACACATCCTAATTAGATTGTTATACATTGGTTATTACATGCCATATACAAAAACATTTGACATGTCATCTACAAAAACATTTGACATGTCATAGTTAAGTTGTTACATGCTATATTGAAAAGAAAAAAAATATTATTCTTACACGCCATGTTGAGAAAATATTATTATTATACGTAATATTCAAAAACATTTTGTTATATTTTAATGTCTAAAATGTTGTTGTTACTTATAATCCAAAACTTCAAATCTTTTCAACTCTATTTATTTCTTTTTGTTTTTTGACAATTTAGCACCAATAAAAGTGTTTCTAATATATTTTCATAAATTAAAACGTAAATTTTCTTATTTAAAATACTTATTTTGATTAAAAATAAAAGAAAATTTCTTTGAAAACCTAAGTTTATAAATTTCAACATTTTGAGTTTATTGGTATCTAGGTCTCAAATTGATCCAATTAAAAATTATTTCAAACATCTATAATCATTTCTATCATTTTAGTTTTATCCTAACTACCTAAAAATTAAATTCTCCAAATAGCTACCCACTCAAGTACATTAAAATCATTACTTGGTGTCTTAAAATAATAGGTAAGAGAAATTAAAAAACGTGAGAAAGAAAAATCGAGAGCATAACAAACGAGTGCCGAAGAGAGAAATCGATAAAATTAAAAAGAGTGGGATGGTAAGAGAGAGAAATCAAAAACACAAATAGAGAAAAATTATGATGAATGATTTTATTTATTTGAAATAGTTTCAATGGTTTTTTTATCAAGTTGTGGTTAAATATAGTTAAAAATAATTAAATTTATTTTAATAATTATTCTTAAAATATCTTTATTAAAAAAAGTTATTTTTTATAATTTTCTCTTTCTGATATATAACAAACTTTACTTTGTTGAGAAAAACAAATTAAAGAAATAAATGGAGATGGGTGAGTGAACCAAGGGGTGATGGATGCTATTAATTATATTTGCAAATCAATAAAGTCGCAAGCAATTTGTATATTATATGTGATTAGACATGAAGTAACTAGCAATTAATCCATTTCCTAATTTAACTATTTATGGCTTTATTCCTCAAGCTTGAGAAAATATACATATATATATATATATACATATATAAAGTTGAAAACTTTACCAGGCCGATTGCGTGCGGCAAGCAATTGGGAACTTTTCTACCATTTTATGCCCATTAATACCCAAATATCTCACCTCATTCTTATTTTCTAGAATGACGGCTATTTAATCAGTACATATATAATCATAGATTAATTATTGATCATTATTACGTCGCAATAATATTAGAAATATATATATATATATATATATATATATATATATATATATATATGCATAGGACCAAATTAAGCATCCAAAGAGGGGTTTGATCACATAGGTGAAATGATCACGCAAATGCTGCTAATTTGGGTTGAGGAGGGTTAACCACGCACATATCCAGATACTTATCCACTGTAGTGTACTCGTAGTCAGGATATAGCTTTGATGCCTCCAAATCTTGTTCTGTCAGTTCATAGCTCATTTGATCTCCTTTGATGAATATGTTGTGTAAAACCGCCACCGGAATATTGTCCGGGTAAGGTAAAGCTACAAAAAATCCCAACAAAGAAAAATCATACGTAAGAAGCTAATTCTAACAAGATGAACATGACATATGTTAATGTCATGAAATATGATGATTAACGCATGGGATGGAGGGGGGCTCACTCTCAGAGAGCTTTATGACTTCTTCCTCGGGCACATGAACTCTCTTGAAGGATCGACCACTCTTTTTCTCCCATGCAGAAATCAGTTGCAACTGAGTTACAATATTATTTGGTGGTCTGTAGATGATGACGCGATTGGCTACCCTTGGATCCGTGGCTGCCTTTACGGTGTAGGCTGCAACATCTCCCTCGTAGTTGAAGGCAACTGCATGTTGGAGATAAAACCAAAGCCAATAAAATATTACTCAGTATAAATCACCTAGTTTTGCTAAAGTTAATTTTTTACTCTTCCTTTCGTTGGTGAGCTCACCCCACAAAATCTATTCCACGCCACGAGATACCCAAAAGTCAATGAGCTTTTCCAATAACCAACCTGGTTTCAAAGATAAGGATTATGTAGGAAGATTCCAAGGTTTGAAAGGTTTGTTCTGAACCAAACAAGAAATTCCATGAAGGAAATTAAGCGATTGATTGTTGCATTATCTTGACCTTTGATTGTTTCTTTGTTTTTGACCATTATTAAGGTGGGATGGGTGGGTAGGTAGAGCTATGGCCGATGGGTTTTGGTTCAAGTCAAAAAGAGTCGTGCAATTAATCCAACTCAATTAAGAGCTTACCCTTGGCTTCGCCACTTCCGTAAACCACAACTTCATTTTTGTTCTCATCGTGTGGGTGAAGCAGATAGTCTACAAAGTATGCTAAAAATGAATTCCCTGCAACGTAAGTGTATGAGAGTCCAGCTGCTTCTGCTGCCCTTCTGATCTTCCTTTTGTTAGCTAGTAAAGCTTCGAAGGGTGGAAGTGCACTTGACCTGTCCACTTCATTCCCATATTCCGATGGAACAAACCTCTACTTTCCCGTAACATATGAAACACAATAACAACTTGTTAGCTAGCTTTGACAAGGAGGATTCCTGGTGAATAGTGCATATTACGGTACATAAAATAAGGAAGTTAACATTAATTAATCCAAGTTTGTCCGAGGGATAGAATTCATGCAAGAATTAGAATCTCTCTTCTTGTTTAAACTTTCTCGCATGTATCAAAGACAAAGAACAAAGTAATTAAAGAATCCGTACAACATAAACATAATCATGTTTAGAAACTCCTAGGGAGTGGAATAGATATGTTTAAAACTTGAGTTGGTTTGGCGGGGAGTAATTACAACCTTAATGGTGCCAGCTTCTTTGATGGCACTTATTATTTTGAGTTGGTCAAGATGTTGGGGGACTGCCAGAGTGGAGATCACAACTTCAACCTGTCGAAGGACTGAAACTAGCTTTTCATGGTCGTCCAGCTCCCCCTGTGTGCATGCGTCAACACAAAACAAGACCAAATCAAGGAAGGGAAAAGGAAACCGTACAAGTTATCATAGTATGAGAAGATTTGCAGAGAAAGTTAAAAATTACATAGAATATGGTGACCCCCATGGATTCAAACTCCTTGAGAAGCTGGAGCTTGGAGGTGGAGGAGGAGTTGGGGGTGAGAGGGCGGGTGTAGGCATAGGTGGGATGACCCAAGGAAACGCTTGCCTTCACCATGTACTGACCAAGATAGCCAGTGCCACCAAATATCAGAATCTTGCTCTTTTCACCACACAATTCCATCTCCCTTTGATTTCGAGCAGACTCCCTACTTCACTCAGATATATCCTTATATAAGAAAAGCTCCCGTGCTGCTCTGTTCGTCTCATTGCATACGCTATCTTTAATCTTATATAGAATGAATTCACTATTTAGGGTTAGCAAAAAGAAAAGAAAAGACAAACAGAAAGCAGCCGTAGGTTGAATTCCGCTTACAGGGCAATAAAAAGAATGTGGAAATTAAGGCATGCCATGTCGATGATGGTCAGCTATTACATATACATCATGCATGCCACGAGAAAATTGTTTTAGAAAAAACCACTACGTATATCAATAAAATTAAATGCAACTTAGAATAAAGTAAAGGGTACATGGAATTTGAATTTGTATTTATTTACTTAAATTAATTTGTATAAATAAAATTAAAGAAAAGCCAATGGGAAGAAATGTTCAAAGGGAAAATGGCATGTGATGAATGATGTTATATTTGTGTTGTACAGTGAGACCTAACCCTTTTTTGAAGTAAAAATCATTCAATTACACTGCAAATTTCATAAATCAATCAATAGTTTTTAAAATAAATTAATTAAAAATTCATCAATATTTATTTATTGAACCCTGAATTATTCTTAATAAAAATGCTTATCTAAAATCGAATTATTTCAAACTATATATGCATGCATGAAATGATCTATATAATGCTAACATCTTTCGATTTCTGAATTTGAATTTTCAAACTAAATGTTTATCTAAAAAATTTTAGCTTAAAAATATTGTATAAAATAAAGAGAGAATTCATTCCCCTTACCCTTTCTTTTCCTGCTGTCTGACAAACGACGAGAATGAGCTAGGCCCCTAATCTCTTTTTCAATCAGTTTGAGGGCGACCCGTCATGAGAAACACTGGCTTTGTTCTGACTACTGATACCTTACGTTTGGAAACAATAAAGCTGACATCAGGTTGGAATTTACTATGTTCTTCCAAATTACCAGTGCTGACATGTCAGGTGTCTTATTTTCCCAATTAATCAGCACCACAAATTTCAAACTAAAATCTTAATACCTTCCACAGGTTGAAAAATATGCCCAAGAGGAAAAACCAATGATCTATAAGTGGACTTCCATTTAAATATTTGACTCACTGTATTTGTTTCAATGTTTCAAATAAAAAAAATTTAAATTCGAATCTTCTTCCGAAATATTGTATCTTGAAATGACGGAAGAATGACTCCATCCTAGGATTTTTAGCCACCCAAAACCCTTGTTGGTTTGTGAAATAGGTTGCCCAAACCTGAATCCAATACACAAAAACAACAGCTGAAACCTGATAAGGTGTTTGTTCTTACATGTAGCAAGGCAAAAATATCCTTCTAACAAATTCAGCTTCATGTCAATCAAATAACAACAGAGGCACAGCACAAACTTAATTATCCAGGGAACACAATCTGCCAAAGCTTGCTCTGGTGGCCAATCCTGCAATTTAATGCACCCTATCAGTCATTCCTCCATATATATATATGATCACCTTTATCAAGTTAGAAGGATGCTCAAATTTAATGCTATAAAAAATTAGTGTAGGAATCCAATTGAAATGAATAGGGAAATGAGCCTTGCATTGGGCCTTCTCGGAAACAAATGGAGAATGCGATGACAAGGTCATGTTCACCTTGGATTGCATTGCTTTTTTCTGTCACTAGAAGACGGAGACAAACTGTAACAAAGGAAAGCAGATGAGTCTGAAACTTGATTATTAATCTTATAATTGCAACAGGATACTTACCACCAAGGACTAGAATTGAAAGGAAATGGTCCAACGATAGCCATGTAATTAGCTACCTGGTATACTATCTTTAATCTTATATAGAATGAATTCACTATCTAGGCTTAGCAAAAAGAAAAGAAAAGTAAAGACAAATCGAAAGCAGCCTTAGGTTGAATTCAGTTTATAGGGCAATTAAAAGAATGTGGAAATTAAGCCATGCATGCCATTTCAAAGATAGATAGATATTATTGTTTTATTTGGATACTTACATATACATCACGTATGCCACAAGAAAATTGGTTTAGATAAAACCATTACGTATATCATTAAAATTAAATACAACTTAGAATAAAGTAAAGGGTACATAGAATTTGACTTTGTATTCATTTACTTAAATTAACTTGTATAAATAAAATTAAAGAAAAGTCAATGGAAAGAAATGTTCAAAGGGGAAATGACTGGTAAAGAATTTTCTTTCGGATCAAAACAATGCTTTATGGCCTTTTCTCAAAGGGAAAATGGCATGTGAGACCTAACCCTTTTTGCAAGTAAAAACCATTCAATTACACTGCAAATTTCATAAATCAATCAATAGTTTGTAAAATAAATTAATTAAAAGTAGTAACTATACAAATAAAAATTCATCAATATTTATTTATTGAACCCTAAATTGTTCTTAATAAAAAATACTTATTTAAATCAAATCATTTCAAACTATATATGTATGCATGAAATGATCTATAATTATAACATCTTTCAATTTATGAATTTGAATTTTCAAACTAAATGTTTATCTAAAAAATTTTAACTTAAAAATGTTGTATAAAATTGACATATACACACACACACACACATATATATATATATATATATATATATAAAGGGAGAATTAATTCCCCTTTCCTTTCCTTTCCTGCTGTCTGACAAACAAGAAGAGTGAGCTAGGCTCCTTATGTCTTTTTCAATGAGTTTTAGGGCGACCCGTTATTAGAAACAGCTGCTTAATTTGTTCTGACTAATGATACCTTATTGTTGGAAACAATAAAGCAGAGATTAGGTTGGAATTTACTATATACTTCCAAATTACAAGTACTCAAATGTCTTATTTTCCCAATTAATCAGGTTTTATATTTCACAATATCCCGATAAATTAGCACCACAAGTTTCAAACTAAAAGCTTTGCACCTACCACAGGTCAAAAAATATACCCCAAAAAAAAAACACAAAACAATGATCCATAAGTGGCCTTATATTTAAACATTTGACTCGGTGTATTTATATCAAAGTTTTAAATAAAAAAGTTAAATTTGAATCTTCCTCTGAAATATTGTATCTTGTAATGACGAGAGAATGGCTTCATCCTAGGATTTTTAGCCGCCCAAAACCCTTGTTGGTTTGTGAAAGGGTTCCCCAAACTTGAATCCAATAGACAAAAACATCAGCTGAAACCTGATAAGGTGTTTGTTCTTACATGTAGCAAGGCAAAAATATCCTTCTAACAAATTCAGCTTCATGCCAATCAAACAACAACAGAGGCACAAACTTAATTATCCAGGGAACACAATCTGCCAAAGCTTGCTTTGGTGGCCAATCCTGCAATTTAATGCACCCTATCAGTCATTCCTCCATATATATATGATCACCTTTATCAAGTTAGGAGGTTGCTCAAATTTAATGCTATAAAAAATTAGTGTAGGAATCCAATTGAAATGAATAGGGAACTGAGCCCAAAATTTGTTTTGCATTGGGCCTTCTCGGAAGCAAATGATGAATGAGATGACAACGTCATGTTCACCTCGGATTGCATTGCTTTTTTCCTTCACTAGGAGACAAAGGAAAGCAGATGAGTCTGAAACTTGATGATTAATCTTATAATTGCGACAGGATAATTACCACCAAGGACTTGAATTGAAAGAAAATGGTCCAACGATAGCCATGTAATTAGCTACCTGGTAGTTACCCCCACCCTCCAACCCGGAAAAGAAAGAAAACAAGAGTCAAGTTTCGGAGGCGGACAGGACAGGAGAACTAGCACTAGCAACCAAGTTTGTAGAAAAAGTAAACCACCAACAATAGTTCAGAGCCTTGCGTTACAAATTTATAAAGAGGATAGGAGAGTAGGCTTGCCACGGGGAGAAAAGGGAGAGAAAGAGGGGAATAGTACTGCAGCTATAATATATGACTGCATTTAATAACTAGATTAAAATCTGGGGCTATCACACAATCTGAACATGAACTTCACATTTATGTGCATCCCATACACATATATCCTTAACGATTCTGTGTAAAAAAAATGCTCAAGCAAACTTTATCATGAAGGGAACAATTGGTATACTCATAATTCCATTTATCATATGAACTTGTGTTAGTTAGAGGTTGGTAGGCCACATAATTAGAATATTATATAACCTTTGCCAATTATATCATATGATGGCAGTGATCAACCAAAACCCTTCATACGAGAAGAAGGAAAAGCATCAACAAAGTGATAGTCTTCTTTTCTGTGCATAAACATTGTTGTACCTTAAACCAGTTTCAGTAACATTTTTTCTTCATTAAAATAACAAATTCTTCAGGGTGCTGCTACAATGGACTCATAGAGGACACAAATTAGAAAATGTGAGCAAGGAAGAAGAGAAAAACAAATAAAAGAGAAGGAAGAAAATCAAAATGAGAATAATAAAAAAGGTAGATAAAGGGCTCGATTGGCTCCTTTCAAAAAGTATTTTTAATTCATTCAAAAGGCCAAGCTAAAGAGTCATTTCTTCATTCTAAACATCTGAAAGCTTCTTGATGTGATTCCAGCTGTGGTTGGGCCTAAAGTGACATTAAATCACACAAATTATACTCTCAAAACGGAAGTTAGCCTCAAATGAAAGTCATGCACTCACAGCAGTTTCATAACAGCCAGAAATGATTCTTGGTGGGATTTCATAAATGATATTCAAGCAAACAAAATGTCAAGTTGCTGAAGCATTCATACATTCATCAATGGAGATAGTATTGTATAGGCTATAGTTATGTCTATAGAAAGCAACAAGTAGGAGCTTATTTTATTGGGAAAACAATAATCCTGGCAGCAGCTGGAGAACCCGATTGCAGCTTTTATAACAACTATGGTGTATTGATTCTGTTGTGCAGGGAGGGGGAAAAGATTGCATATCATAAAAGTGGAGACAGTTCCTGGACTGAATTACTTAACTCTAGGCATCCACACTACCAAGATATCATACGCCAGCAATCATAGTGTTGAAATATGGGATTTTCCGAGGCAAAAAGGATGGATCATGTTCCTCCTTTTCCTGAGAATTGTCACTTGCCAAATCTTTGTACTTGTTGGTCGAATTATGTGGGGATATCCTGCTCGTTGTGAGGTTCATCGGTCAGTTTGTGGATTGGAATGAGAAACTGTTCCTCGAAGCTGCTGACTGCACACATCCTAAGGTTTGTCCACACAGAGATCATGTTTATAAGCTGGATTTTTATGATGTAAAATGGATGGAGATGGAATTTAATTTTGAGCCATTGTGCTTTGTTCTTGGGAGGAAATCAATCTGTTTTAGTCTGAGTTCAATCTTTTTCCAACTGTGAATTAAAGGAACTCAATTTATTACTCTGATGATTAATGGAGGAAACTTAGAATTTGCATGGAGGTTGGGCATAATCAACCTGAAAAGATGCAAGCGTCAAGCCAAGTTTTGAATTCTCTATTCAACAGACTCAGTCACCACTCTGTTGGATCAAATCCCCCAAGCAATGCTGAAAGCCTGACACAGTCTGCAACAACTCCTTTCTTCTATAAAATACATGTTGCCTCTCTCTTTTTTCTTCCAACTTTCTCAGATTATTATGCATGTTATCTATGTTAAGAAAAACTTTTGATCAAGTACATGAAGGATGAATCCTTGTAGTGAACAACAGCTTCATGAATATGAATTTGGACTCCTCTGCTTTACATTTGGCCTAGTATAATTTCTTCGGCTGTTCGTGGGTGACAAGTTGAGTTACTTGAAACTATAATAATATAACTTGTTCAAACCTAAAATTAGATAAACACCATACCAATGAAGTGTTTAAGTTACATTTTAGACCTTTTAGCTCTTTACAACACTTTTTCACACTATTTTACAAAGGCACATTTGCCAACCCAAGCTCTTACCAGCTCCAGCAGTAATGGTAAAGTAAGGCTAAGTAAAAGACTGAGGCAGAAGATGGAAATGTGCATCAAAGTGAATAGTACCATTTATAGAAGGGTAGGTAAAAAGCCTAATGTTGTGTGGCCTTCTAATCTTCAAAGGTGATCATAGAGACAAATTAATTAGGGTATCTAGCTTTCAAAAGACTAGTTTGACTGTATCCAACTTGGACCCATTTCATCTTATCTTAACTCACACACTTAAAGTCAAATAAAATATTTTATTTCTTATTAAAATAGGACCCTATTACTTTTATGTTCAAATTGTTCAATTGAATTGAAGTGACTCAAGCAATAGAATGCATATATACACTTGCTCAATCACCACCCCTATGAGTAAATGATGTTGAAGGTTTATACTTCAATTTTATTATATATATGATGCCTATGATTTAAAGGAAAAAGGGTGAAAAGAAGAGATGATAATGCATATCATTGGCTTTGATTTCAAAACAAATTTAAGTAGTTGTGAATTTTACATGATATAATGATGCCAGTGAAAAGACTCAAAACTGAAAAACTATCATGTTGTTTCCTTTTAAGCACACAGTTTTCTCTGTTTTTCAATTTAAAGTCCAATTATAATTAAATTTGATTAAAATCAAAACTGAAATGTCGACCCAAATGTTATATCTTGTCTAATGTTATATTTAAAACTAAAATTAATTAACCCATAATTGCTTACTCAAGAAGCAAGTTGGAATAGTTTTTTTAAATAAATAAATAAAATTATAGCAATTAAATTTGGAGGAAAAATTAAAAAAAAAAAAAAGGGGATAGCAGTTAAAGACAAAGAAACAAGCGGCGGAGAGTGAAAACTTTTCCGTGAGGTCCCCCGACAGTGTGCCACGAGTTTTCCGCATCCAGACAAATACACTCACTAACTACATATTAAAGTTTAAAGTTCTCCACTTAAACGACGTCGCTCTGAGACCATGCAAATCTAATGTAAATGCCTTTTCCCTTCACCTAAACTAATCCCCAACAAAAAACAACAACAACAAAAAAAGACAAAGAAACTGAGCTATGGCTTCTTCCGACATAACAAGAATTGCTGCAGCCATTACTGCGTATCTTCCGTTGATCACCACGATGATCATCGGGGAATCCGTGGCCAGGGAGCTACGCCCTTCCGACCACGGTCTGGAGTACCAGGGCGTGCCGCCGACGGGGCTCAAGTCACCGGAGATGATGTCCTTCTTCGGAGCGGAATCCAAGTCTTCCTCTTCTTCGACGCCCTCCACGGTTGCATTGCCCAAGGCCATGAATTCCAACGACTCGTCGTGGTGGGAGGGAGGCAGCGGCCGGCGGGGGAGTGATCACGTGAGGCGCGTGCTGCTGTTGGGGAGTTTGGTTTGTGGCGTCACAGGTGTGGCATTGTTGGCTGCTTCTGCTTTCATTTATCTTATCAAGAGATCATCCCCATCCACTAATAACAACAACAATAATAATACCAACAATAGTTTAGTCCTGATTAGCAGCAAGTGATTTTGGATGGATTCAAAATATGTAGCTTTTCTAGTGGATTGCCCAATTTCTTTTTTTTTTTTTTTTCCATTTTTCATTTTTATTTCTTTGGGTCTATATCTTTAGGAAAGGATCAATGTAAGGTAGTTAAAGAGGGTCATATTAGTTAAACTTCATAGCTAAGGAAAAAAAAAAAACTAAAAATGCTGCCTTGGCTTTCTTTATCTTTTCCTTTCTTTCTTCTTTAACTTCTTTTTTTCCTTTTTAATTTGTCTGTTTGTTTGTCTGCTAAACTTCAATTGTTGATGTACATAACCCTTTGTACCCTTTATTAATTTGCTTATAAATCCACAATTTATGCTGGGTACAAAATTGCTTAGCTAGAAACAATTGGGATAAGTTATTGTCTTCTGTTTACTCTCTTTTTCTTTTGTGTGTTTTGCTGGACAAATCTGGTTGAGTACTTGTGTTTATCTGATGAGCTTGGAAAAATTGGAAGTGAAGAAGAGATTAGAACTAGTTGTGGGATGATGTGAGATATTTACAGAACCCATGTATGTATAACATTCATGATAAATTGTAATGGATGGGATAAGCAAAGCTGTGAGAATCAGATACCTGAAATTAAGAAACATATTTTTGGTAGCATTTGAGAGATACCCTGTTGTGTTTGTTGGGTTCAACACATCTATACCCTGTTGTGTTTGTTCGGTGGTGAAAGCCTAATCCAGCTCAACACATCCCTGTAGCAACTAGTTTGGATTAGATTGGGAGTTAAACCAATGAGCAGTAGACAAAGGAGTGCTGGGGAAGTGCGCATTGCTTTCAATGTGTCCCTACTGTATGCATAATTAGCTCCAAAGGTTTCACTTTGAAAAGTAGTGTTTCACTTGAGAAATATATATAAATATATATCATGGCGACAGAGATATTTCTGGTGTAGCATGTGGTTTGTGTATGAATTAGGTGAGATGGGTCGGGGAGTCTGGTTGAGGCAGCTGTATGCAATTGCTTTGGATCTGAGATTTGGAATTTGATTGTTAGGTCCATGTTTACCTTGAAATTCATATGACAAAGGGATGCCTGGTAGAAACAGGCACATGCCTTTGAGACTAGGCAGCTTAATTTGCTTCCAAGGTTGGGCTACCTAAGAGGCTAAAACAGTCTAGTCTAGTAAAAGCAGAGGTCAAATTGTAGGAAAAAGATTTTTCTTCTCTCTCCCATTGACAATAAATTTACCCCTATACTTTTTTTTTTCCAAATTAATGGGAATTAAGTTCTTTTAATTATAAATAATTTAACATATTTATCTCCAAATTAATATCTATATGATGGAATTAATGGAAACACTGCAACTCCTAATCTCGGTGCAGCAGCATTGTCAATCTGGCTATCACTACTCTTTTCGATCTAATTACTGTTGATTAATTTGTTCGATAAAAATAATTGTGACAGTGAAAATGAGAATAAAAATCATCATTAAGGGCATTAAATTAATATTTATTTATTAAATTCTTAAGTAAACTTTTAATAAATGTACAAATATGTTTTATTTATAAAAAAAAAAGGTGGTTATGCTATATGGAAACTAATTACTATTATATTGTCTTTCCGAGAATTCACAAATACATCTTCTTTATTTAAAAAAATAAATGAGGGCAATTATAAATTTTAAAATCTCATTTGGGTTAACCCAATACCAATTGTATGGTATAAAATAAGATACTAACAGTTATATAAATAAATATAAACACCACACTATTAATTAACGTGTTAAGAATCTAAACACATACACAAACATGTTTATTAAACATATTATACGACACAATACGAATAGCACGGTTATTAAATAAGTTAGATTAAATTACATATGCAGTTCAAATACAATTAATCTGTTTACATTTGTTTTTAATGAAATAACTTGTTTAAATTAAATATTCTTTTGTTAATAAAACAGATAACTCCACTATTAAAATTTAAAACTAATAATCATAAGATAATTATAACAAAACAGCAGTAATGCACCGAGTATGCTGAAAAGTGTCAGAATAAGCCCATCAACATCAACATAAGCATAATAATTAATAAAAGTCGACACCGACATCAACATCAACATGGAGAATCATAATAAAATCCAAATACCATTCAATATAAACATAATGAAACACCAAAAATCAAGATTAAAAACTCCTTGGCCATGGTCACAAATCATTCTTTCACTTCAACCTATTTATGAAATAGAAATAATATATATATATAGATTAATAAAATTAGATAAAAATTAAAAAAAATTAAATGAAATTTAAAATTTAGTTACCTCTCGGTTTGCTGATGTAACTTCTTCCATACTAACATCTAAGTTCACAATATCCTCTATAATCACGTTTAAATCCATGTCTTCATGTTCTACAATTTGTTTAGGAAAGTTAAAAAAAGTTTATTAAGGGCAAAAAAAAAATGATAACACTGTTCAAATGTAGGTGTAAGGGTGGCAAAAGCATGAAGTAAAAAGGCTTGTTGCAAATACAAAAGATTGCAAAGAACAGGAAGCATTGATTCTACATTGAGAAAACAAATTATAGTAAAGATGAAATAAAGGAAAGGAAACTAAAATATTCAATAAATAAAAAAGTGAAAGAAGATGACATTACCAGCTTCCCCAAATAGCCAATCCTTGCAACAAACAGTGGCTTCCAAAATTTCTGGTTTGAGTGAGCTACGATGTTGGTCAAGGAATTTACCACCAACACTAAAGGCAAATTCAGATGCCATTGCAGATATGGGAATACTCAAGACATCTCGAGCCATGGCAGCAAGCTCAGGATACCGATACTGGTTTTCTTTCCAAAATTGTAAAATATTTATTTCTTTTGTTCTCTCAACCCTTGGTTCAGACAAATACCACTCTAATTGAGATTTTTGGGTGGCAGCCCCAAACTTAATAGTCGCATAACTGTCAAACTCCTAATTAAGAATAATAAAACAATTAAGATAACTTTAGAAAGATATAAATAGAAAAAATAGTCATTAAAATATAATTTTTTTTCATTACAAACAGCATAAAAGATATTAAAATTGAATAACAAATTAAGACTTCAAAAATAAAGAAATTACCTCAAAGAAATCTTTTTTTCCCTCTGTCAAAGTATGCTCATCTGAAGTATTATTAAAAGAGGATGGAGTAGGAGAAGCCTTGACAGCATATTCATTATAAAGAGAAAATAACCGATCTCTAACGTTTTTAAACTGAGTTGAATCATTCCCGTAAAGCTTCCCATAGCTCCATTCCACAAAATGAATCTTGTAACGAGGGTCCAATATCACAGCTATTGCTAAAATCCAGCTAAAATCAGACCAATACTTCTCAAACTGAGCAAACATTTGAGTACTTATGTATTGCATATACACATCCTGTCCACTCATGTGTTCTTGCAAAGTTGAGTGTGCTATGAACATGGGAGGGAAAAATAAGTTGGCTGTTGGGTACTTTGTTCTAGAAAAAACACAAGTAATATCATAAAAAACAGCCAAGAGTTTGCAAAGTTTCTCAACTCGTTCCCACTCGTCTTTAGACGGACAATACTTATAGTTTGAATCACTAATCTCTAAGTGAGAAAAAGCCATGCGGAAGTAAAGGGCTCTTTCAAGCATGAGAAATGTGGAATTCCACCTATTCGGAACATCTTGTCTCAAGCCTCCTTTTGCATTCAAATTCATTAGTGTCACACACTCTAGAAATTTTTGTTTTCTCACTTGAGACCCTTTCACATACTGAACACTTTCCCTCACTTTTCGGACAACACAATCACCCACTTTCAAACTATCTTGCACAATCGTATTAAGAACTTGAGCAAAACATCTTAGATGAAAAACCTTGCCACCTCCTAAAAATGCTTTTCTTACATTCAAGTTCACTTTCAACAATTCAACAAAAGCATTAGTAGCCAAATTATTATCCAATGTCACAGAGAACAATTTACTATCAATTCCCCATTCAGCTAGTAATGCATACACCTTTTCAATCAATGCAACACCATTGTATGGAGGCAGCATAAAGGAAAAATTCAATATTCTTTTCTGTAAAACCCAATTTTTGTCAACAAAATGAGCAATAACACATATATATATATCAGTAGTGATAGAATTCCACAGATCAAAAGTCAAATTAATCCTCCCAGGTGTTTCCTCAAGCAAGTATTTTATCTTGCTTCTTCCTGTACGATGCATCTTAATCATATGAGCTTTAAGAGTGTTACTAGAGATCAAAGTCACATCTTCATGCAAGTAAGACCAAAGATCCCTGCTCCCACTATGCTCCACAAATGATAATGGCAAATTATGCATGAGAATTGCACCTATCACCAATTCACGAAACTTTTCAGGATCAAAATTTGAAGACCTTGTTAACACAGACCCATGTTGATTAGAAGAAATCATTTGACCTATGTCACGTGTGTCTCTCCCAGCACAATTTTCACTATAACGTTTCAGAGTATCTATCTCATGCTTACTATCACAATTCAAAACAATTCCACACTGCTTGCACTTTGCTATTGCTTTTCCATCAATTGAACTCTTCTTCGGAAAATGTTCAGAAAAGATCGAAACTTGTGAACTTAACTTCCTTTTGTTTTTGCCTTGCGTTTTCTCATAAGTCTGTTGTATCTCATCATTTTGCTCCAAAGGATGAGCATTTGATTCAAGGGAAATCCCGTTATTCTCAGATTCCATCTGCAATGACCATATTTACCCTTTACCCTCACTATTTTAGCAAAGCATAATATCAAAACCAATCAAATTGCAAACAAAATAAAAAGGCAGCAAAACATAATATCAACTAAACATGCTTTAAAACCATGCACTAGATCAAGGAATTTAGAACCAGGCTCTTGCATCCACGAGAGAACAAAATTCTAAGTTGTACACTAATGTCTTTGTCGACAACTCTCTTCTGGATATGTACTGGATTTCAACATGGGTGAATGAATAGATAAGTATACCTGATAGAGGCTAGACCAATATGGGATCACAGCAACAACGAAGCTAAAAGTGTCATATGTGTCCTCATTTTATTTCTCAGTTAGTCCCTACACATACAAAAAACAAAAAACATGTTCAATTACCATTAACCAAAAACCATTAAACTGTAAGGCAGCAACTGCAGCAAAAAGAATTAGAGAGAAGACAAAAGATCAGTTGACATTATAGACATAAACCATGTTTTGATGATGAGACTAACTCAATGGGATACAGAAATGCTCCATAATTTGAAAATGGAACATCATGTAGACAGAAATCGTACTCGATCAAGTTGTCATACTCATTTCTTATTTCTTTTTTTTTTTTTTTAAAATGAAAATGCCATCTAACAGAAAAAGAAACAACAGAATAATTGCTCAAGAGCTTGGTGTAGGTATTTTGCAGTGGAAAACCAGATATCTTTTGCAATTTAAAGAATTGAGTTAGGAATTCAAATTCTACATGTATGATACTTGACAAATATAGTCAAACAATGAATGGAGCAGCTACTGTAGTAGCGCTAATGGATGTCAAGTCAAGCAGTAAGAAGTCAGAAACAGGAATAGGTACCAATATCCGCAGAGTTTGAGAGGAAAACCCAACAAAGCAAAGTCATGCAGTTTTCAGACAGCAGCGTGGGTGCGCCGTTTGGGAAGAAGACATGTTGGCAAATTCTGCAGTAAGGTCATCATTTTTGACCTTACTGTAAGGTTAATTAATAAAGATGATCAAATCTATTAGATTAAACTACCGTCATTGATTTAAAATTTATAAAAAAATTGGTAAACAAATTCAATCGTTAAACAAAAAGTCTTTCCTTTTATGGAGTCTTTTTATGTCTTATTAATAGAAACCATTTATTTGCATTGCTTTTATTCAATGGCTGAAATTTTATATTATAAATAAGATTATCACTATAATAAATCAAAAAG